GAGCCCCCCTTTACATCGCAAGCTTGGCTTCACATGAGAAGCCCCTCCCCCCCCCTCTCAGGAAACCTATTCACATCAAAAGCTCCCCTTCATATCAGGAGGATTTCGAGGCACCGCTGAGGAAGCTGGAAGGCTGCCCTAGAGCAGCCGTTGTGGAACTACAAGTCCCATGAGGCGCTGCAAGACTCTGACAACCACAGACATGACTCCGAGAGGCACAAGCGTGATGATATTTGTAGTTTAAAGTCATGTGACTTTAAAAGAACTGTTCTTGGCCAGACAGGCAGCACTGACAGCAAAGGGGGGTCCACAACAGACTCATGTACAGTGTGTGACTTTCTGTACCCCGAAAATAAACTATTTTTTTTAATGTTATTCGGCACCCGTGTTTGATTTGTTGCACTTTGCAGAGCGAGGAACGGACGGATAAATAAAACGAGCAGCCGGCGGTGGGTTCTCCAGCATAGAGAGCTTTTGGCTTCATATTTTATTTCTAGGTTCTAGACATTGATAACTTCGCAGTGCAATATTCACTTCGTGTTCAACAGGAAAAAGAAATTGCCCAGCAAACAGTGTTATAGGAAGGAGGGGGGCGGGGCAAGCCTAGAGCGGAAGTGCTTCCTAACGCATCTACCAATCGGATCTCAGTGTTTTATTTACATGGGGTGAGGAACGGGGGGATCTGGACCTTTTTTTTTTTCGGTGACCAGATTTTGTACATTTTATTAAACACACAATTTTTGCACTGAAAACCTCCCTTCTACATAAAAACGTCACCCAGCAGCTACAATTCCTCAAGATAAAGGTGATACATTCTATGCATGAAATAATAACTTTGGAGCGCTCGGAGTCGGGGCAATCGTGAAGTAAATACCCCCCTGAAAGGGACATTCCACAATAATAAATGCTCAGTGTATTGGATAGTGCTTCAGCCTTGCAGCACTGGGGATCCCTGATTCATATCCGGGTTAGGTTGCTATCTGCATGGAGTTTGCATGTTCTCCCTGTGCTTGTGTAGGTTTCCTCCGGGTACTCCGTTTTACTCCCACACTC